TAAAGCAGTGGTTCTCAACCTTGGCTGCACATTAGAATCACCTGGGAATCTTTTTAAAATCCTGATTTCTGGGCCTCATCCTCTGGAAATTCTGTTTCTTTGTTATGGGGTAGAGCCACAACATTAGTAACAAAGAAACAGAATTTCCAGAGGATGAGGCCCAGAAATCAGGATTTTAAAAAGATTCCCAGGTGATTCTAATGTGCAGCCAAGGTTGAGAACCGCTGCTCTACTCAGTCATTCTCTTGATCCAATAAAGATGTCCTGCTAAAACACCTTGAGTCCTGTTTAGAGAACAAGAAATAAGAAATTTCAAGAAATAGGAAAATTCAGTCGCTGTCTTGTATTTATATCACAAGCCCATGATTATTAGGTAAATTCACTCAAATATTTTAATCACCTGAATTTAGCCGTCTCAATACTTATTTTATTCTGGGATGCAATCATTAGATAATTGAGAACAGCTGAATTTCACGACTGATTTGTGTTTTACAAGAATCACCTTGTAAAGGTGACTTAGGATAGGCCAAGGGCGTAAGCAAGGATAGTTCTAACATCTCACTTCAGAAACTGAACCAACATAGTACTATTGATGGAGGAGTCCGAAGATGCAACTGACTTCCTGCTTTGACCTGTGGCTCCATTACTTTATCAGGAACATGTTGAGAATTATAAGGGCCTATGGGGTTGAACATAATGTGAGCAAGTAGATGAACCTGATGTCGGTGCCACAGCCCGCCTTCTCAGGATCTCGGGTGCCTCCTGGTGAGGGAGAGTATTCTAGCTCAGAGCTGCAGCCACTAGAAATGGGAGCTGAAGCAGGGCTAGAAATGGGTAGCAGGCCTGCAAATGGCTGGCAAAGACCTCTTGCTGAGGTGATACAGGTGCATACGACTGTGGGAGATTCAGTTGTTTGAGGTCGTTTTATTTTTTGCATGTTCCTAGAAGTTCCATTTGCAATATCCAAAAAAACAACCATCTGGAAGCAACCTAAAAGTCCCACTGATAAACGATTAAACACATTTTGGACTACACGTACAGTGGAATATTGAGCAACAAGAGGAACAAACTTATGGATACTTCAAAACAATTATGTTGCCCTAACCGGTTTGGCTCAGTGGATGGAGCGTCGTCCTATGGACTGAAGGGCCCCGGGTTCGATTCCAGTCAGAGGCCAGTACCTTGGTTGGAGGCACATCCCCAGTAGGGGGTGTGCAGGAGGCAGCTGATCGATGCTTCTCTCTCATCGATGTTTCTAACTCTCTATCCCTCTCCCTTCCTCTCTGTAAAAATTCAATGATAAAAACAATTATGTCGTGTGAAAGAAGGCAGATAAAAAGAGTTCATACAGTAAGAGTCTGTTCATAAAATACAGACTAATCTGTGGTGACAAGGCAGTTGGGTGCCTGCTTAGGATGTATGGAGCATGTTCTGTGCTCCAGCGGTTAGAATGAGGCTGGAAAGAGCCTCCACGTCCTTGCTTTCTGCTCACGTTGTGATCGCCGGCCCCCTGACCGCCTCACTTTCCACACCTGGTTCCTTCTCCACATGCACCGCCACCTGCCGGCTGCGCGCTGAGCCCCGAGGCCCTTCGCGCTGTACGGACACCGCACTCCCCCAAGATGGCAGCGCCCACCGCGCCCCTGCCTCCCGGCGCCAACCCCACGCGGTTTTAGCGCCCCGCCGGCTTTTTCGTCAAACGAGTTAACGTTTTTATGCGGCCTCTAAATCTCCTCGCAATTAGGCTAGTGGCTGAGGTGTCCAGAAGTTATTTTCCTTTCCCACCGAACTGAGGCGTAACGGCCGCTCGGAATGTACGCGGGGCCCTTTTGGTCCTGATGGGCTCCGGCCTTTGAAAAATAGGCTTCGTTCACTGTCCCCTCCAACAAATGAGTTTACCCCCACGTCACGGGCCTTCTGTGACCTCAGGCCTCCGAAAACCTCTCCACATTCCTATCAGGGCTGGCCGCTGAGCAAAAGCCTTCTGTACGTCAGGTGTGCAAAGATGGCGGCCTCCAGGGTGCCGAGGCGACGGCGACGCGGGTACGTTACGTCATAAGGAAACGCCAGGAACCCGTATTCCGCTCTCCATAGAAACGCAGCAGAAACCCCTCGCGCCTTCGCCGGACATTCTCCGGAGCCGAGGCCAGAAGGGAGAAGTTTAGGGAAGTGAGTGAGGCCTCCAGAGGTCGCTGCGGGCCCCGGAGGGAGTCGGGTCCGTGCGTGGGTGTGTCCGGCGGCTGCTGGGTGGGTGGCAGCCCCTGTGAGTCGGTGAAGGTAGCGCCGCGCGGGGAGCACGGAGGGATCTACTGGGTGTCTGTGAACGGGGTGTCTTTGGGGTCGGTCGTGGGGGTGGAGGTGGGGGGTCGTCGCTGATGGTCAGATCAACGACCGAGAGGTCAGGGTTCAGGGTCTTCGCGGGCCACTGCCTGCCGGTGACTGACAGCTCGCGGGCTGGAGTTTGTCAATGACACGGCGTCCCGGCCGGGTCCGGCTCTGTAGTAACTCGGAGCCAGTGATGGAGGAATCGTTAAGGGAGGTCAGTGTACGTGGGCATCTGGTCTGGTTTTGATATTAACCCCCATTGGGGGGGCGGGTAGGAGGGGGCGCACTGTCTTCTGTGCTGAGATGTGTGACGGCCAAAGGCTTGGAGGCTCAGGCTCCTGGACCAAGTCTCTCCACCAACCACATCATCCCATTCCTTTCAACCCACAGAAACAAAAGTTTTGGGGGTAGGTGAACCAGTCAGCATATTTAAAATTAATAAGATTTTCATTTAAGAGTCTGTTTTCATCCTCATCCTGCAAGTTTACTGTAAATTTTCTTTCAGGTTCTATGTATGAATATACAACGGCTATTTTCTCAGTACTTACCTTTTTTTAATTCTTTTAAAAATTTGTATTTATAGCTTCTATTCCATCTCTCTCCTTTTTCCCTGTGTTCGTTGTTCCTCAATGAAGTGTGTATATAAACAAGGTATATAAAGACTTTTTAAAAGTTTTTATGATTTTTAAAAATGTATTTTTAGATATATTTTTATTGATTTCAGAGAGGAAGGGAGAGGGAGAGATAGAAACAGCAATGATGAGAGAAAATTACTGATTGGCCGCCTCCTGCACCCCCCTCATGGGATCAAGCCCCCAACCCCAGGCAGGTGCTCTGACCAAGAATGGAACCGTGACCTCCCGATTCATAGGTTGACACTCAACCACTGAGCCATGCCAGCTGGGCACAGAGGTTCTCAACCTGTGGGTCTCGACCCCTTTGGCGGTCGAACGACCCTTTCACAGGGGTCGCCTATGACCATCCTGCATATCAGATATTTACATTATGATTCATAACAGTAGCAACATAACAGTTATGAAGTAGCAACGAAAATAATTTTATGGTTGGGTCACAGCATGAGGAAGGGAGAGAGATAGAGAGTTAGAAACATCGATGAGAGAGAAACACAGATCAGCCGCCTCCTGCACATCTCCTACTAGGGATGTGCCCGCAACCCAGGTACATGCCCCCGACCGGAATCAAACCCGGGACCCTTCAGTCCACAGGCCGACGCTCTATCCACTGAGCAAAACCGGTTTTGGCATAAAATTTATTTTTAAAAAATTAAATAAAATAAAAAAATAAAGGGCCAGAAGGTTGAGAACCACTGGTAAAGGAAAGATTTACAGTTCCTCACTGTCCGTACGACCTCATTTCTATAATTGTTCTGAAAATTACCTGCCACTGAGGCACAGTGCTGTGCTGTGCTCCTTTGCTACTTTCTCTTTCACATTCAAGCTACTTATATCTTCAGGGTCTTCTGTTTCATTACTTCAGGTGTGATCTCTAGGGAACTAACTAAAGAGCCAAAATACTGGGGACCATGTGTTAAGGTGAGTGCGTAGCAAGGGGAATGTAACCCTGAACGTAATCTTGCTCTTCATCCCATAGGTTTTGACAAGAGATAAGAAAAGAATGAAGAAAGAGGAGGTTCCAGGACCTCGATGTTGTCCTTTCTGGGAACACTTTCAACTGGAGAGTGAGATTTTTAACTAGAAATTTAGGACATACCAAGAGAAGACAAAGACGAGTATACCAGCTGCTGGCCATTTCCCCAAACAGAAGGAAATGACCCAGGCCCAGGTGACGTTTGTTTTATTCTCTCCTTTGTTCCCTAATGGATTTGTAGTGGCCTGTAAAAATTAGTTCAGTACCCAGAGTGAAATAAACTTTGAATCTACCTCCAACATCAGGGCAAATTAGGATCAAGAATATAAGTATTCAATGCCCTAGCCCCGTGGTCGGCAAACTGCGGCTCTCGAGCCACATGCGGCTCTTCCTAAGCCTTAGGAGTACCCTAATTAAGTTAATAACAATGTACCTACCTATATAGTTTAAGTTTAAAAAATTTGGCTCTCTAACGAAATTTCAATCGTTGTACTGTTGATATTTGGCTCTGTTGACTAATGAGTTTGCCGACCACTGCCCTAGCCTGTTTGGCTCAGTGGAGAGAGCGTCCGCCTGCTTATCAAAGGGTCCCAGGTTTGATTCCGGTTAAGGGCATGTACTTGGTTGTAGGCTCCTACCCAGGAGGCAACCAATCGATGTGTTTCTCTTACATCTATGTTTCTCTTTCCCTCTCTCCTCCACTCTCCCTAAAAATCAATGGAAAAATATCCTAGGGTGAGGATTAACAAAACAAACAAAAAAAGAAAAAAAGAATATAGTATTCATATGATTCTGAGTAAATGACTAATGTTAGCATGTAACATATAATCGAAGGATCCTCTGGGTTACATTAGCTGTCAGCTTGTGTCTAATGTCTATGGCAGCCGACACAACAAGAGAATCATGCTTCGTTACATGATATGTATCATGTACTGTGAGGAGACAGCAGACGGTTCCTCAGGGAGTGTCAATATTTCATGGCACTGGGGTCTTAGCAAAAATGTTATATTCTTCCCAGAGGTAATGGGTGGACAGTGTTTTTGAACTTTGAATAAAGGCAGAAGCATATTTCGTACTGCTGTTTATTTCAGGGTTCCTCACAAACCCATTGGGGAAGAGACCAAGCAAACTCAGTGAACACAGTTTTATCAGGGACCAAGGAAAGTCACTCAGAGAACTCAGCCTTGTGCCTGGGTTTATCCAGTAATAAAACCTAAATGGCCGCCATAACCGGTTTGGCTCAGTGGATAGAGCTTCGGCCTGCGGACTAAAGGGTCCCAGGTTCGATTCCAGTCAAGGGCATGTACCTGGGTTTCGGGCACATCCCCAGTAGGGGGTGTGCAGGAGGCAGCTGGTCGATGTTTCTCTCTCATCGATATTTCCAACTCTCTATTCCTCTCTGTAAAAAAAAAAAATAAATGAATAAAAAATAAAAATAAAAAACCTAAATGGCCTAGGAAAATGGGAGGATTGCATGGCTTTATTTTTTTAAATTCTTTTATTTATTGATTTATTTGAGAGAGTGTGCTGAGCTGACATGGCCATGGGTGAACCTGAACTCAGGCCCCTGTTCTCCACACTCAGCCTGACGTTGGGTGCCATATGTGCCATATGCGCCCGCACAGCCAGGTTCGGTGAGCCTGAGAGGGGGCCGTGAAGGATTGAGAAAAGACAGACAAGAGAAAAAAGCTGGGTCTAGGTGGGATGCTGCCCTCTCTGATGGAGAGAGACAATGGCACGGCCTGCAAGCCGAGTCTTTATTTTGTAGCCAGATTCCACGAGGCAAAGTAAGGGCGTGGTCAAGATGTTTACAATGTTCTCATGGGTTTCGAATCTGCTCAATTACACGCACCTGATCAAGTTTTGTTTACTTGCTGCACCTCCCACAGCCCATATCACTCAACCACGTGGGGCTACAGGTTTGGACCCTAAGGTCAAGCTTACAACTATAGCTTTTGGCTATAATTGTGCTGGGACTTACACGTGGCTTTGCCATGAGAGGATCGTACCCTCTCATTAGTCCTAGGCTTGAACCTGTCCAAACGCTGTAGCCGCTCTGAGAGAGAGAAACATTAATTTGCTATTCCACTCATTCACACATTCATTGGTTGTGCCTGCCTGGGATTGAATCCGAAACATTAATGTATCGGACAATGCTCCAACCAACTGAGCTACCCAGCTAGGGCTGCATGGCTTTCACATGTTCTTCCATCAACAGGTAGCTGAACTGTTAAAGTTCAGATTTGGCCTTAGATAGTTGCAAAAAATTTTGTCTGATAAGAGCTTGAGTTATTGGGTTCCAGGATGTTTGCTTTATAACTTCACGTCATCTTGGAAAATATAGACTCCGTCCCCATTTTCAAATCCAATCCTCTTCTTTCTTTGCTTTTCTATAATTATGCAAATTACTCACAGATACCTGTTTTTAAAAATAGGATTTTACTGATTTGAGAGAGAGAGAGAGAGAGAGAAACAGAGAAATAGAGAAACATCGATCCGCTGCCTCCTGCTGAACCATAGACCTGGGATCGAGCCTGCAATCTGGGCATGTGCCCTGACCATGACTTGAATCAGTGATCTTTTGGTGCACTGGATGTTGCTCAACTAACTGAGCCACACCGGCTAGGGTTCACAGATATATTTTAAAGAAAAAATACTCAGCCCTGACCGGTTTGGCTCAGTGGATAGAGCATCGGCCTTCGGACTCAAGGGTCCCAGGTTTGATTCCGGTCAAGGGCATGTACCTTGGTTGCGGGCACATCCCCAGTAGGGAGTGTGCAGGAGGCAGCTGATTGATGTTTCTCTCTCATCGATGTTTCTGACTCTCTATCCCTTTCCCTTCCTCTCTGTTACAATCAATAAAATATATTTAAAAAAATAAAAAATATTCAATGATGAGTGCCCATGGGCAAAAAAGTAAATGTCCTCTTTATAACGTCCTTCCTCATTGTCCCCTCATACTGCATTAACAAATGTTTGCTAGTGTGTTTTTCTGTCACTAGACCTATATGTGCATCTACATATATGTGCCTATTTACCGATGTATGTGGATTTGTGTACATATCTGAGTAGTTAACACACCTACTGTGACATCAATGTATCAATGATACATTTATGTATCAAGGTCATACTTCAAAGAACATGACCTGTTGGCCTACGTTAGTATAATTTAAGCATCTAAAAGAATAATGACAGCAATTGATTGGTGAATATTATCTATATATAAAATTCCATTTGTCCACAGTCATACTAAAAAAAATGAAATGCACTATGTAAAACATTTAGATGCATGCCTGCTACATAGTATGTGATATGTGGGATCATCCATGCCTTAAATCTTTGCCAGTACTTAATAGGACATTATAAAATTTCATAATTTTCAGCAATCTGAATGGCCCAATATTCTTTACCCTTATTTTTCATTTTCCTCAGCACAGGTGAGGTTGAAATCCTTGTGTATTTTATGGTCAGTTGGATTTTTTTCTCTTGTGAAATGCCTGTCTTTATCATTTTTACATTTTAAAAAAACTATATCTTCTTACTGATTAATAAGTATGATTTATATCCAGTACATATTGATCATTTTGTTTATTAAAAATATTTTCCTAGCTTGTTAGTTTTCTTTTAGCTTTGTCCATGATATCTTTGTAATGCAGGTGCTTTAAATTTTCCTCTCACAAAATTTTTTTTTCTTTCTTTCTTTCTTTTTCTTGGTTTTGTTATTCCTCACCTAAGGATATTTGTTCCATTGATTTTCAGAGAGTGGAAGGGAAGGAGGGAGGGGGTGAGAGAGAAACATCAATGTGAGAGAGACACATTGATTGGTTACCTCCCACATGCGCCTGACTGGGCTGCGGATGGAACCTGCAACCCAAGCACGTGCCCTTGACAAGAAATCAAACCCTCGACCCTTCAGTGCTCGGGCCAGTGCTCTAACCACTGAACACACCAGCCAGGGCTTGTTATTGATTTTCTGTGATTTTTTTTTTTTTTTGGCTTTGATGTGAACATACTTCATACTCTCCTCTCTCTATTCCTTTCATAGATTACCTTATTTTATGGTTAGCACTTTAAACAGGAAAAAAGTATTTGAACCTAAGTTTTCATTTTTCCAAATGAATCTGCATCTCACATGAAATAACTCAAAATGTGGTCAGATCAGCAGTGTTAAGAATTTGCAGCCCCTACCAAGTCTGCTCTCTTTTCTATGTAGTAATGTCTGCAATAACATGGAAAAGAGTATCCCATAGTTTTTCCCTCTCTGGCTGCTCAGTTGACAAGCAGGTCTCAATTTATTTTCTGGTGACATTTGAGCTTAGGCTGCAGGACCACAGGATCAGGACATTGAAGATATTCCACACTTCTGGGCTGTTTTTTAAAAAATATATATTTTATTGATTTTTTACAGAGAGGAAGGGAGAGGGATAGAGAGTTAGAAATATCGATGAGAGAGAAACATCGAACAGCTGCCTCCTGCACACCCCCAACGGGGGATGTGCCCGCAACCAAGGTACATGCCCTTGACCGGAATCAAACCTGGGACCTTCCAGATCGCAGGCCGACGCTCTATCCACTGAGCCAAACCGGTTAGGGCTTTCTGGGGTGTTTTTATTCATAGCACTTCTGACACCAAATGTGTGGGCATTTTTCTCACATCTGCCCATTCTACAACTCTTGGGACACCGACAATTCAACTCAGTTCTGACACTGACTACCTGGGGGCAGCGTCCGGTCCCACAGGTTAGGTGGTAAGTCCCACAAGACTGACCCCACTTTAGGTGCCAGTCGGAAGTCCCAGGTTGTCATCTCTACTTCTGATAACCAGCTCTAAATCTGGGGGTCCCACAACCTCCTTCTCAGGATTGGTAATTTGCTGGAATGACACACAGAACCTGGGAAAGCACTTCACTAGTTTATTATAAGGGCCGCAACTCAGGAATAGCCACCTGGGAGAGATGCGAAGGGTAAGGCCTGGGGAAGGGGGCAGAGGGCCTCTCGGGAGCACCACCCGGCCAGCATCTCAGTGTGTTGACCACCCCGGAAGCTCTCTAGACCTGTAGTTTAGGGGGTTTATGATGTAAGCATGGTTGATTAAATCACTGGCCATTAGTGATTGAACTCAACCTCCAGTCCCCCATCCTGAAGCCATCTAGGAACGCCCAGTCACTAGTCATCTCATGAGCATACAGAAGACACTCATCAGAGAGTCCAAGAGTTTTAGAAGCTGTGCCATGCCCTAGCCCAGTGGTCGGCAAACTGCGGCTTGCGAGCCACATGCGGCTCTTTGGCCCCTTGAGTGTGGCTCTTCCACAAAATACCGACGTCTGCGCATGGGCCATGAAGTTTCAATTGCACTGTACATGCGCGCCCGCACGTGGTATTTTGTGGAAGAGCCACACTCAAGGGGCCAAAGAGCCACATGTGGCTTGCGAGCCGCAGTTTGCCGACCACTGCCCTAGCCGGTTTGGTTCCGTGGATAGAGTGTCGGCCTGCAGACTGAAGGGTCCTGGGTTCAATTCCGGTCAAGGGCACATGCCTAGGTTGCAGGCTCGATCCCCAGTAGAGGGCGTGCCAATCAATGATTCTCTCTCATCACTGATGTTTCTATCTCTCCCTCTCCCTTCCTCTCGGAAATCAATAAAAATCTATTTAAAAAAGAAAGAAAGAGAAACTGTGCCAGGAACCAGGGACAAAAACCAAATATGTTTCTCGCAACATTTTTTTCTGGCTTCTGTTGCCTTTATTTCAGTAAACGTTGTCTTTCTTTTGATAGTAATTTATCTTTTCTTTCTGGTTGTTTTTATAATCTGATTTTTTGCAGCTGGTGTGCTGTCGTTTCAGCTGGAAGTGTCTACATGCAGATTTCCTGCCGGGCTTTGCTGGGTTACTGAGTCTGAGTTATAGGAAGTTTAATCAGTTCTGACATTTCCTCATTCTTGAGATCTTCGTATCACTTCTCTGTTTCTGTATAATCTCTTCCAAAAACTGCATACAGGCCTATGCTAGACCTTGCTCTATCCATATTTATTAAACTCTCCTTTATATTTTCCATCTCTTTCTGGGGCTGCTTCATTTTGGGTTATTTTTAAAAATGCATATCCCACTTTACTAATTATCTCCCCAGTGTATCTAATATGTTAATCTTTTGTGAAATAAGAAATATATACATTGGGCCCTGGCCAGCTAGCTCAGTTGGTTAGAGCATTGTCCCGATATGCCAAGGTTGTGGGTTTGATCCCTGTAAGGGAACATAAAAGAAGCAACCAATGAATGCATAAATAAGTGGAACAACAAATTGATCTCTCTCCTCCTCCTCCTACTACTACTATAACAACAAATTGATCTCTCTCCTCCTCCTCCTCCTCCTCCTCCTTCTTCTTCTTCTCTCTCTCACTCTCTCTCTAATATCAATTAAAAAAAATTTTTTTAAACCACACTCACATTATAATTGGTGTCAGAAGTGTAGTTAATATGAACAGGACAACTTCCTTTATATTATTTATGGCCAGTAAAAGAAAAATACTCCCTAGTAAACAGGACCATGTTGTTACAGGAACCGCTGACACTGGAGGATGTGGCCGTGGACTTCACCTGGGAGGAGTGGCAGCTCCTGGGCCCTGATCAGAAGATCCTGTACAGGGACGTGATGTTGGAGACCTATAGCCACCTCTTGTCAGTGGGTGAGGACAGCTCCCGTGTATTAGTCAGAGGGCACCCGGTCAGTGGTCTTTTCTTTCCCAGCTGCGTATACTTGGGAGTCACTGCAGTGCTCTGAATGGCAGGTTCTCAGTGCCTCCTCTGGCTCCGGATAAAGACATATAATATACTATAAGCTCCACCAACACAACTGATACCAACTGTGTGGGGGTTTTCTACACCAGCAGTAAATTCTCCAAGTACCAACTGGGTGTCCTGCAGCTCAATTCAATTCTGTTTTGACACTAATACCCAGAGGTAGCATCAGACTCCACAGGTTTAAGGGCTCATACCACAGGACCACCCTCACTTCAGATGCCAGTCACAAGTATTATGTATCCAGGGTACATCTTGGCTATAAATCTGTCCAACTTGGCTGTAAATTTGGTGTTCCAACAACGCCCCATGCCTACTCAGGTTTAATAGTTCATTAGAATGGCTCCTAGAACTCAGGAAGGCACTTATTACCATTATCAGTTTACTATAAAGTTAAAAAAAAAACCACTTAGAAACAGCCAAATGGAAGAGGTATTTAATATATTTATTGATTTTTTTACAGAGAGGAAGGGAGAGAGAGAGAGAGTTAGAAACATCGATTGAGCTGCCTCCTGCACACCCCCTACTGGGGATGAGCCCACAACCAAGGTACACGCCCTTGACCGGAATCCAACCTGGGACCCTTCAGTCCGCAGGCCGACGCTCTATCCACTGAACCAAACTGGTTTGGGAGAGATATTTAGGGCAAAGTGTGGAGAAAGGGGTGTGGACCTTCCATGCCCTCTCTAGGCACACCCCCCTCCCCGAATCTCAAAGTGGTCATCAAGCTGGTAGCTGTCCCATCCAGGTATTTAGGGATTTTTAGGGAAAGTCCATGATGTAAGCATGCTTGCGTAAATTCTTGGCCATTGGTGATTCATTCTATCTGCAGCCCTCTCCCTCTCCACAATGAGGAGAAGGGTTAGAGTTGAAGGTTCCAGCCCTCTAGTCATGTCTTTGTCTTCCCGGATCCGTCCCACCCTGAAGCTATCCACGGCCTCCAGCCACCAGTCATCTCCTTAGCACACAGAAGGCACTCATCACTCTGAGGAGCCCAGGGGTGTTGGCAGTTCTAGTGTCAGGGACTGGAACTTACACTATCCGAAAAGATGCCCCTATTATGCTGTTCACAGGAAATTACAAGGGCTTTAGGAGCTCTGTGCCAGAACCTGCACAGAGACCAGACGTAAATCACCGTGTCACATGCGCCCTCTCCTGAGAGCAAAGTCTCTGACATGTGCGAACTGTCTCGTCCCTTAAACATAACATTCTCCCAACCCAAGTTTTCTGTCGTTTCCTATGAACAGGGTATCAAGTCAGCAAACCAGATGCTCTCTCCAAGTTGGAACTAGGGGAAGAACCGTGGACAATAGACAATGAACTCCACAGACTAGTCTGTCCAGGTGAGTGGGTGTGAACAAACAAAGCAGGTGTGGGGGAGGAGAATCATTTTCCTTTTACCCTTCTAGGTTCTTCTGGAGGGGCTAATAATCTAATTGATATGAAACAGATTAAAAGGAGGAAATAACCAAATTTATTATGTATGTACATACAGGCGTTCTATAAGAATATGGGCCCAAGGACAAATCAGGCAGCTGAGGTAGGGATAATGAGAGCAGGGTTGTGATTTGGGCTTCAAAGGAGAGGAAGTCAAACCACATGGAGATGGCAAAGCCAATATTTGGTAAATAAATGTTTGCTGGGCATCTTTAACAATGGGACCCGGAGAGGAGTTGGATTAAAGGGCCTCGCCAAAAATAGATCCAGAGACAAATGGCAGGGGAGGTGGGGGCAGAGGGGTTAGAGAGCAACCAAAGGACTTGTATGCATGCATATTAGCATAACCAATGGACATAGACACTGGGGCGGTGGGGGCTTGCTAGGTTCCTCCCTGTCTATCACACCTAGTTCATATTAAACTGTAGTTATCTGTGATGGTATCGCCCTTCCTGGAGCAAGCCCTCTATCTAAATTCTTACAGGCAGTGAGGGCCAATATCAAAGCTTTTTCTTGTGTCTTTCTTTTCTTGAAAATAGCCAGCTTAGCCGTAACCGGTTTGGCTCAGTGGATAGAGCATCAGCCTGCGGACTGAAGGGTCCCAGGTTCGATTCCAGTCAAGGGCATGTACCTTGGTTGCGGGCACATCCCCAGTAGGGGGTGTGTAGGAGGCAGCTGATCAATGTTTCCCTCTCATCGATGTTTCTAACTCTCTATCCCTCTTCCTTCCTCTCTGTAAAAAAATCAATAAAATATATTTAAAAAAAAAAAAGAAAAGAAAATAGCCAGCTTAAAATAAGCAATATTTAGATGGCAAAATCTGCTTCCCCTCATGGGTTACTGCAGAAGTCATATTCTAGTCAGAGAAGTCTGGGCAGGGGGAGGGGTGTCTGAGGGTACAGAAACAGTGCCCCCATATCCCTCTCCTTAGCAGAACTTTTCTTTAGGTCTTTAAAGGGACATAAACTGCCCTAACTGGTTTGGCTCAGTGGATAGAGCTTCGGCCTGCCGACTGAAGGGTCCCAGGTTCGATTCCTTGGTTGCGGGCACATCCCCAGTAGAGGGTGTGCAGGAGGCAGCTGATCGATGTTGTTTCTCTCTCATCAGTGTTTCTAACTCTTTATCCCTCTCCCTTCCCCTCTGTAAAAAAAATCAATAAAATATATTTTAATAAATAAAGGGTCATAAACCTTTTCCCCCTCTTTTCTCTGAGAACTGATCCTCGCTTATTTTACCGAACATCTTGATTTTTGTTTGCTAGATTTCTCCTTCCTTGAACTCTATGAACTACCCCTTCTTTGTACCTTGTCACAGTGTCTCTCTCTGTTCCACCTCCCTGGCTATGAAATTCCCACTTCATTTCTCACTGGTTCTTTTTGTGTGTGTGTGTGTGTGTTTTCTACCTCCATTTTTATATTTCCTATCTCTTTGCTGAAGTTTTCAGTAAGTTCCTCTACTCTTCCTGTAAGTTTATTGAGCATCCTCATAACCAGTGTTTTGAACTCTGCAGCTGGTAGATTGCCTGTCTCCATTTTGGCCCTTTTTCTAGAAGTTTGTTGTTCTTTCATTTAGGACCTGTTTCTTGGTCTCCTCATTTTGGCGGCCTCCCTATGTTTGTTTCTGTGTATTCGGTAGAACTGCTGCACCTCCTGTCTTGGTAGAGTGGCCTTATGTAGTAGGTGCCCTGTAGGACCCGGTGGTGCAGCCTCCCCGGTCACGTGAGCTGGTCACTTCAAGTTTGTCCCCTAGGTGAGCTGTGTGAACTCTCCTGTTGTAGTTGAGCCTTGATTGTTGTTGGCACATCAAGGGGAGAGATTTACTCCCAGGCCAATTGCCTACAAGGACTGGCTGCTATCACCATGGAGAACTCACATCAGCAGTGCTCAGGTACCCGCCCAAGTTCACCCTATATACAAGGTATGTCTACATTTTTAATTAGGAAGATGATGCTAGGAATTAGTTATGAAGGCATGAAACACATGAGGAAACATGCTAGGCCATGGGGTTGACTATCAAAAGAGTGGCCTAAAGTCAGGCAAATGACAGCCACTGTTAGAAGCTCTCTGCAGGGAAAAGAGTGGAGTGGAAACCTGGATAAATGGAGTATTCATGTAGATGTACACTGTGATTGCCAGGATGGCCCTAGCCGGTTTGGCTCAGTGGATAGAGCGTCAGCCTGCAAACTGAAAGTTCCTAGGTTCGATTCCGGTCAAGGGCACATGCCCGGGTTGTGGGCTCGGTCCCCAGTGGTTGAGGGCTTGCAGGAGGCAGCCAGGATGACTGACTGGATTTCATATGAGTTGAAGTAGCATGGTGGAGAGTTGGTTGGTTTTGTATTTTTGTAACACTACATTGTCTTTCCTTTTACCTGATTTTAGTAGTATAGCAATAATAAGGAACAAGCAGACATTCTAAGAAATATTGAAGATAAAACTAACACAACCTAGATCTTCAAGGAGGAAGTTAGTCCTTTAGTACAACCTAACTGTTGCCAACGAGACATAAATATAGAATTACTGAAGTAGATGCTGGTGGCAAGTGAGGGAACAAATATATCAGGGACACTAAAATGGGAAAATGTTGGGTATGACTTTTGTACTGAATGCTGAATGTGATTGCAAAAAGGTGACAGTTGCCATATCCCATGTAGCTCTTGAGCTTCTGAAGATGACTGTGAGGTACACTGGCCAGCTGCAAAATTTCCTATCAATCACTGTTGTCCTATTTTGTTATCAGTGGAACATATGATAATATGACACAGCTCAGCTAAAGGCTGGAGTGGTGATTATATGAGTTCCACGCAATGTTTCTTGGTGGTGTTACTTGCTTGGTGTCTAGAGAAGGGCAAATTTAGGAACAGGATTATGATGTGAGAGTCTGTCTCAATTCACTTTAATCCAAATTCTGAAGACTTTATAGTCTTACTTGCTAGGTAATATGTTTATTCTTTACACCCCCGTCGGTATTTTCTCTGACTCCATAGTCAGTTTTCAGTGCCTCTAAGGGGACTTTAAAGAATCCCAAAACCCTAAATGTTGGAATGTCTAAAACCTTGGTTTGTACATTTATCATCTTTCATACTACATGTCCTCCCAACATATGAGCCAGTTCTCTCGTCTTGAATATCAATATATGTTGATTATCTCCACATTTTTTAAAAATATATTTTTATTGATTTCAGAGAGGAAGGGAGAAGGAGAGAGAGGGAGAGAAACATTAATGATGAGAGAGAACCATTGATCGGCTGCCTCCTGCACGTCCCCCACTGGGGATCAAGCCCACAACCTGGGCATGTGCCCTTGACCAGAATTGAACCCAGGACCCTTCAATCCGCAGGCCAATGCTCTAGCCACTGAACCAAACCAGCTAGGGCAACTTTGCCATTTCTTTATGCAAATATATCCTGATTTCCTCCACTTTCCACCATCTCCATTGCTCCTTTAGTCCATGTTTAATAATCTCCAACTCCTTACTTTTTTTTTTTGTTTTCGATTTCCCTAACTAGATTTTAGATCAGTGAAAGTAAGGCCTATTATATATATTTTCCAAACCACCAGCACAGTACCTGGTACAGGGAGCCATTCAATAAGTAATTTTGGTCTGAACAAATGCAACCCTCATCATCTGGATTAGTTTTCCACCTCTGGGATCTGGGTCTCTCTAAGTTCTGTGGAAAGGTATTCCTCCAAATCTTGTCCTTTCCTGCGCAAAAATGACTTGCTTGGATTTTACTTTCTCTACATGTTTTGAAAGGTCCAAAAGCAGCTAAATCTACATTGTCAACTACCTTAGTGGTAACCTTAGTGGTATACCGCTTTTTCCTTTTGGTTTGTTTATATTATGGTGTTTTTACCAATGTGTAAGAAATAAGGAACACTTACAACACGTGGTGTATTTTTTTATAGTGTTACCACAGGGTTGTCACTAAAGTGCCATTTAAAAAATTAATTAATTAATTAATTAATTAATTAAAAGTTTAATTCCAAACAAGATTATAAAAAGATTCATTGTTTTCTTTCCTAGACACTGGAAAAGTTGATTATCTCCAGGATCACTGGGAAAATCAAAGAATGTTGAAAGGTATGGAACAAAAGCACAAACAAGATACATTTGGAAATATTGTTCCTCAAAGCAAAAGGCATTTTCCTTTCAGGCAAAATCATGGTGTGTTTGACTTCTACATGAAAACTCTGAAATCAAATTTAAGTTTAGTCAAACAGAGTAAAAGCTATGAAACTAAGAACTCTGCTAAGTTAAATGGAGATGGAAAATCATTTCGGCATGGCAAACATGATTTTCATCTTGCAGTTAAATTTCCTGTCAGTGCAAAACCCATTAGCAATAAGTCCCAGGTCATTAAGCATCAGGGAACTCAGGAGGTAGAGAAAGCCCATGTGTGCAGTGAATGTGGAAAAAGCTTTGCTAAGAAGTCTCAGCTCACTGATCACGAGAGAATTCACACAGGAGAGAAACCTTACAGATGTAGTTTGTGTGCAAAAGTCTTCTCCAGAAAGTCCAGGCTCAATGATCACCAGAAAATTCATGAAAGTGAGAAATCCTTTATATGCAGTGACTGTGGCAAAGTCTTCACCATGAAGAGCCATCTGATTGAACACCAGCGAACTCACACTGGAGAGAAACCCTATGTGTGCAATGAATGTGGAAAAGGCTTCCCAGGGAAGCGTAATCTCATTGTACATCAACAAAATCATACTGGAGAGAAATGCTATGTCTGTGGTGAATGTGGGAAAGGCTTCACTGGGAAAAGCAGGCTCATCATACATCAGCGAACTCATACTGGAGAGAAACCCTACACCTGCAGTGACTGTGGGAAAGCTTTCACCACGAAGCACTATGTCCTCATACACCAACGAAATCATACAGGAGAGAAACCATACGTATGCAATGAGTGTGGGAAAGGATTCACCATGAAGAACCGTCTGATTGAACACCAGCGAACTCACACTGGAGAGAAACCCTATGTGTGCAGTGAATGTGGAAAAGGCTTTACCAGGAAGAGTAACCTCATTGTGCATCAGAGAAATCATACGGTAGAGAAATCCTATGTATGTGACAAATGTGGAAAAGGCTTCACGGTGAAGAGCATGCTTATCATACATCAGCGAACGCATACTGGAGAGAAACCCTACACCTGCAGTGAGTGTGGGAAAGGCTTCCCCTTGAAGAGTCGGCTGGTTGTACATCAGCGAACACATACTGGAGAGAAACCATACAGATGCAGTGAATGTGGGAAAGGATTCATCGTGAATAGTGGGCTGATGTTACACCAGCGAACTCATACTGGAGAGAAACCCTATATATGCAATAAATGTGGAAAAGGTTTTGCCTTTAAAAGCAACCTTACGGTACATCAGCGGACTCATACTGGGGAGAAACCCTTTTCGTGCAGTGAATGTGGAAAAGGCTTCACCATGAAACGCTATCTCCTCGTACATCAGCAAATTCATACAGGAGAGAAATCCTATATGTGTGGTGAATGTGGAAAAGGCTTTGCCATGGAAACTGAGCTCATTTTACATCAGCAAATCCATACTGGAGAGAAACCTTATGCGTGCAATGCATGCGGGAAAGGCTTTGCTGTGAAAAGTCGTCTAATTGTCCATCAACGAACTCACACAGGAGAGAAACCTTTTGTGTGCAGTGAATGTGGGAAGGGCTTCTCTTCAAAGAGAAATCTCCTTGTACATCATAGAACTCATAATGGGAACAAACCCTAACAATGCAATGAATATGGTCACACCTTCAGGAAAAATAATATGCCTTGTACAATGTCAGAGACTTCACACAAGATAGACTTCTTTTATATGTACTGATCTCATGACCCACCAGGTAAGTGACACAGTAGACAAAGTGTATGTATGCAATTAGTCTGAGAAAGCTTTCAACATGAATTCAGCACTCACGGTATATGAAAGAACTTATAAAATAAAAGACAGACTCTATGGATTCAGTGATTGGGGTAACCTTTCATTTGTCAAGCCTTATTAATACACAAAATGTGTAGTCAAGGTACATAATCCTTTGCAGAGTCTGAATTCATTACTTACAAGTGAACTCGTGCAAGGGACAAAGTCAAACCATGAGAGTTCAGTGCAGTGTGCTCCTAGCATACTTGAATATAGTCAGTGTACTTTATTAGCCTGTTGCTAGACTTTCACTCATGGGAAATTATGGAATTTGCATAGGAGTGAAATTTAATGAATGCAAAGAATGTGCTAGTGCCTTAGGTGATAAATTACCTTACACTGTACGTCAAAATTAATACATAAGAAAAATGCAGAAAGTCTTGAGGAAACATTTCTCACATGAAATAACCTTTCCCACACTCGCTGCAGGTAATGATATGTCTGACAAGTATATGCTAATATAAATCACATGCATAGAAACACTAGGAAAGCCTGCTGTGGGAATAAAGACTATCTCATTAGTGATCACAATAGATCATCAGTGAGCTTGTACACAGTAGTAACATGATGGTCATGGGAAAGCCTTTGTTTAGAAATAAACCTCAATAAGTTGCCTGATATTCATGCTGGAGAATAATTTTAGATGGCAAAGAATATGGCAGAATTAATCATTTCTCATGAGTTCATACAGCAATAAAACTGCTGGAAACACAATGTAGAGTGACTTCAGCAAAATATCAGAGAATTCATGAAGAAAGCTTTGTAAAAATGATATCTACTTGAGTTTTCTAAGCCAAGTCTAAACTTATTATATAACTGATGTCCATTCTGGGACAGGATACCTTGAACCATATACTCAATGGTTCCATAAATTTAAAGTAGGCAATTCTCAACACTGATAAATGTTAATGTTATATACAAGCAGGAGTGTTCTGTGTCCACTTCGTATCATTATATGATTAGCTCTTGCATTTCTTGGGCTCTAAATTCATCTCTTTCAATGTACTGTGTACTTCAGAAGTAAAAGAAATATACTCATAAATATAATTCCACATCGTTGGATGTATTTATCCAAGTTTTTAAGTTGTGAAAACATCTTAAATATGATCTTTCTGAAATTTGTTTTGGAATGATTTTAGACTCACAGGGAATTACAAATCATACAAAGTTCCTGAGGACCTTTACTCAGCCTCTTCAGTAATAGAACCTCATACATCATCAAAACCAGTAAAATGACATCAAAACCAATAAAATGCTGTTAAGTAGACTACAGACCTTATTTGGATTTCACTAGTTTTTTTATGCTTCCATTTGTGTGATTTTGTTTTGTTTTGTTTTGTTTTTTGGTGTTGAGGTCTAAGAAATTTTATCACATGTATAGATATCTGTAAATCCCGCCACAATCAGGATGCAGAATTGTTGTACCAACACAAAGATACATCCACCTGCTACCCCTTTATAAACACACTGTCCCCCAACCCTGACCTATGGCCACCACTGATCAGTACTCCATAGCTCTAATTTTGTCATTTCTTAAAATGGAATGTATGTAACCTTTGAGATGGGCTGTTTTCCCCCCACTCAGCAAATTGCTCTTAAGATCCATCCACTTTGTTGGGTGTATAAACAGTTTTCCTTTTTTGTTACTGAGTAGTATTTCTCAGTATGGGTGTACCATTTGTTAATCTGTTCACTGTTGATGGATGTTTGGGTTGTTTCCAGCATTTCATTGTTGTGAATAAAGATGTTATCAACATTTATGTACCCAATTTTGTTTTTCTGGGATAAGCACTGAGGAGTCTAAATTAGTGTTTAACTTTATAAGAAATGTCAAACTTTTCCATAGTGGCTGTACTAATTTACTACGTCCCCACCAGCAATGTGTGAATGCTTCAGTTGTTCCATGTCCTTCCTAGCACTGGCATTGTCATATTTGATTCTTACCATCCCATCAGCTGTGTGGTAGTATTTAATGATGGTCTTAACTTCCATTTCCCTAATAGCAAATGATGTCCTACATACACTGAGAACCAACTCAGGTAAAGTATCATTTTGGCTTTCAACCATCAAACATAATTTTAAAAACTCAAAGAGAGAACATCATAATCCTATATAATAAAAGCATAATATGCAAGTTGCCTGAACGGTGGAACAGCGGAACGACCATCCGGACAACCACCCGGGACCACGCTATGACACCCAGTGGCACCAGGCCAGCTGTGATTAATAGAAAATACCTCTTTTTAACCAAATAACCTGCTGTAATTAGAATCGCTGGGTCAAAGAAAATGAAAAATTTTAAATAGATCCAGGTTGCCTTCTGTAAAGGATCTACTCAAAGACTCTAATTCAGCAGTTCTCAACCTATGGGTCGAGACCCCTTTGGGGGTCGAACGACCCTTTCACAGGGGTCGCCTAAGACCATCGGAAAACACATATATCATTACATATTGTTTTGTGATTAATCACTATGCTTTAATTATGTTCAATTTGTAACTGAAATTGGGGGTCACCATAACATGAGGAACTGTATTAAAGGGTTGCGGCATTAGGAAGGTTGAGAACCACAGCTCTAATTATAGACCCATCACTCCCTGTGTAAAAATAACGTTTTAAAATGTGCCCTTTTTTAGTTGGAAACTGTGCAAAGTATGATAATAGTGTCATCTCATAATTTCATATTCCCAAATGCCCCACCATCATCATGTATTTTTGTCACTTCATCCCTTTCTGCACTAGAGGAAGCTATGTGTCCCCTCCCACGAGGGTATCATCATTTTGATGGACTTCCTTCTAAACTACAAATGCCTTATCCACTCCACACACAACCGCCCTGTCGGCAGACCTAAGCCTTGCAATGACAGCTCCTGCCCTGGCCGGTTTGGCTCAGTGGATAGAGCGTCCGCCTGCGGATAGAAGGGACCTGGGTTCGATACCGGCAAGAACACAAGCCCGGGTTTCATGCTTAATCCCCAGTAGGGGGGCGTGCAGGAGGCAGCCGATCAATGATTCTCTCTTATCATTGATGTTTCCATCTCCTCTACCTCTCTGAAATCAATAAAAAAATATTTTTTAAAAATAAAAATAAATAAATAAATGACCGCTCCTTTGTCAACTCTGTGCCCACTACCTCTCCGGCGACATCTCGGCTTCCACCAGCATCCGACACCTCAGCCAACTCTGCCGTACGGACACCTGCCTTCGTCCAAGATGGCCGCGCCCATGGCGCCCAGCGTCCAGTCTCAGCTACACGGTGCGCAGAGGGCGCCGCCATCTTTCCTTGTTCCCCAGCGGGCGGAGCGCGCCTCATGGCCCTCGGATAGGCACCGCCTTTAAACCCTTACAGACAACACGGCAATGCGGACCGTCCCTCCAGCGAGGGGGTCACAGCATCGCTGTGGCCAGGAATGATCGCCATTTCTTCCCACAACCGTTACGGCCGCTCCGGTCACAAACGCCGGGGTGGGCGTGGCCACGTACGTCATAGAGCGGGGCCCACAGTTGGAACTAGGAAGTCCGGCGTCGCCGGGCGCTCCTCGCAGGACTCCCTGGTGCCAGGCAGCCGATGAGCGTCCTTAGGAACCGCGAATGGGAAGCGGCTTCGGACGTGGGCTCAGCCTTCCGTCCCTGCCCGCGGTGTCCGGAGCGGCGCGGGATCCGGTGAGTCGAGCTCTGGGCTCGGATTCTCGGCTGGGGGAGCTCCGTGACACGCGAGCGTGTGGACCGTTGTGGTTGGGGATCTTTTCGGATTCCGTCACTAAGGGATCTGGCCGTTGGTGACGGGGCCGCGGGCGGGCAGGCAAGGACTGAGGGTGCGAAGATGTCACCCCCCCGGAACCCGACTCTCTCTGGGTGTGAGGTCCACGGGGGTCGCTCCACTTGTGGGACTCGGCGGGTGAGAGCGGGGGCGGAAAGTCTGTCAGCGGACGCCGTGCTCAGTGGCAGAGAAGCCCGGGTTTGGGGGTGCCCCTTTTGGTTTCTGGGGCATGTTTGGGGTTTATTATAGGGCTTGTCGTAGAGACGCCTGGTGGGGTCGTCACTGTTGAGAGGTCGGGGCCCCCAGAATCGTTATGTTCAGGCTCAAACTTGGATTCCCGGAAACAGACCGGAAGGATGCCCGCCCCCAGTTAACACAAAGCAATGTCACTCCTTCCAGTGCTGGTCCGTCCTAAAAACCTGTGTCCTGTCCCACTGATGCCTGAGGGGCGAGTTCCTAGTCCGGACTGGAACCAAAAAGGGTTCAAGAGGGAACCTTGGAGTGAAGTGGAGGAGCAGGGGTTTTTGTTTTGAGAAAGTTTTATTATAAAGCTGGAGACAACGAACCAAGGAAGGGCTTAGGATAAAAGAAGCAACAGGAGAGCGCCTAAGCAGGGCAGCTTTGGCTCACTGGGAAGTCAGAGAAAAGGGGGCCTTGGAGAGAGACCTTGTTCTTCTTTCTCAAGATTGCTAAGGTTATTGGGGTCTTTTATGAGGCCATGTGAATTTTTGGAATATTTTGTTGTAGATCTGTGAGATATGCCATTGGTATGTTAATAGGAATCGCGTTGAGTCTCTATATTGCTTTGGGTAGTATAGACATTTTAATGATGTTAATGTTTCTTATCCATGAACATGGGTATGTTTCCACTTATTGGTATCTTCCTCAGTTTCTTTCTTCAGTATCCCATAATTTTCCAAGTAGAGATCGTTTACCTCCTTGGTTAAATTTATTCCGAGGTACCTTATTTTCACTTGTTGCAGTAGTATGTGGGATTGTTTTCTTAATTTCTCTTTCTGATA